TAAAGAGAAAAATATATTGATGTTCTACACTGGTCTTTATAAAATAGTATAAAAAACATGATTTAATTATTAAGTAATATAGTGTGGGGGACTGGAGTATGGCAGTAATTCACATGTTTGATTGACACCCAATTTATTGGACTAACTGTACAAGATTCTCGCGCGCGTGACAAAGTTCCGTTCCGTACTTTGATACAGCCAGACTGACCTCCTCCGTTGTTACGCGCTAGCTTAACAAGGGCGACAAGAAAAAAGATAGATGGAGTGAAGAGAAAGACAGAGGACGTAGGGGAGGACACCAAAAATGCCGGGAAACTTGGAGAAAGTGTCGAGATAGTAAAAAGGAGAAATCAGCGTACAGCAAGGACCGCACAAGCTGATCGCCAAATGTGCACGGACGCTAGACTTTCACGACACCCTAAGCAGGAAGTTAAAGTCGAAACAGAGAGTAAACATCGACGTAGAAAAACCTGAACAAAGAAGGACTTTTAGGAAAACTTTAGAATCCTAGGTGAACGTGGATGTAGGAGTAAGGTCTCGCCCGAACCTGGTTACCAAATGTGCATGACAATAATTAGACTCGCACGAGACCGCGAGAAACGCTGAAGAGAAAAAATGTACAGGAAACAGTAAAGCGAAACGAAATACCAGAAAAGTGAAAATTACAAAAAATCTAAACGAAAAGAAACAAGGACGTGGTGGCAGTCTTAAGGCCACCACAATAGTAACATAATTATGTTAAACAACTTCGTTAATGAAAATGAAGTTCATTGTACAGAGTATTGACAAGCCTAAAGAATAAAGAGTCTAATAAATCTATGACGAAGGCAAGAAGAATTTAGTAAATTCAGTATAGTATTAGAATTTCAGTAAATGCATCAACAGTTTAAGATATTACCATCCTTACATAAGCTCGCGCCGACATGCTCAACATTTTCACTGATAACGCGAAGATAACATATCGTCAGAAGCTGAAAGGCCGAGCTTTTCTCTGAAGCCACAATGACCAGTGGCCACCTGTTGCCTATCTATTCATATTTTAGGTATGGTGAGACAGTCATCGCCTTTTGTATCTTTATAAACGTCTTAAGAAGAATATCTTTCCACGTTGAGAAATTCCCGCCATAATTTCCTTCCTTGACAGCAATTCACACTTCGCACTATGCATCAATTCTCGTTTCAGCAACGTGTAAAAAGCAAACTCTGTATACATCAGTTTGATCAATTTGAACTAATATGTTATTTAGATTTTATACGAATGCAGAAAAATTCTGTATTTAAGTATTATAAACAATTTAAACGCTAAGGTATTTGTCTTCATATTTTTGATGAAATTCACTGTTCGTTTCAAAGAAAATTAAACAATTTGATTATCTTATCTATTATAGTAATCGTTTCTTACTTTAAAAAAAAAATAAAATTTGTATCTTACCTTTTCCTAGCCAAAATGTATGTATCATTTGGCCGATCGTTGTATTATTGATTAACGATGGGGATTATTAAATACATAGAAACCCTATTAGGACTTTTTTCGATCTTACTGACTGACGCGTGACAGTGGTCTCATTGTCGACCAACCAAACTATTTTAAGAATCTTCTACTTTTTACTGTCGATGACAATTTCTATGCGATTTTCATATTCTTTATGTTATTGTATACGCTCCGATCTCTAAAATGGAAGGCATTTATAATTGCTTCAAGCATCAAGTAAATTCAGGTCTGCTGCGGTACAGTATCTGATTTTCCACAAATACTGACAAGGAAAAGTCGGAAGCTCCTTTAATAATTATATCTACCCTCGATGTGACATAATTACCAAATTTTATGCGACTATGTGAATTTCCACGGGATGAGAAACGGGGTTGTTGCCAGAGAAAGTAAGAGATTCTACCAAATTATGGAGTCTTGCGTTATTGACAGTAATCCTATTGCTACAGTGCCGTTTCGTCTTATCGAAATTACGTAGTGGGATGTCAGACAAGAATATGAATTAAAATAAGTATTAGTAGTCATTTCATTCTAATACACTAATGCGTACATTCTAAACTATCGCTGTATCCTATGTGACCTGTTACAAATCTATGTAGACGTTTCATTGTGCCCCTCCAAAATTTTCAATGGTGTCAAACTCTTGAAAGACATTCTGAAACGTGTTGAGACTAATACTTGATCTCCGAAAAACAATATTCTTGAAATATACCGAACTGAAGACTTTTGAGGGAATCAAAACTCGGTGAACACGCGCAAAACATAATTGGTTACCTTTTATGCCAGTGTGTTAGTAATAATTCCCGCCTGAATGATCCATGTTCGATCGGTGTCGACATCTGTGTCCCTGGCCGATAGTTCACAGAGCTAAAACAGGTTAAGGGGTGGGTTACGTATCGACTAAGGCTGGAAACAATATATCAGCACAGACGAGATATACGAATAGACCTAACATGCAATGTAATTTTCTGTCCCATGCTTCGGGGGCGTCAGAAGCCACCGTACCTTTCAGTATTTCATTCCTTGCTAGCGAAACCGGGGCAATAAGTGTGTATGCATCGCTATATGCAGTCATGGGTGGTGTGTGCTGTGCGTTATCACGGAGTCGAACGTAGTTCCTAAAATCGGAAACTTTTATGTAGAGGTGCGCTCGAACTAGCGTGATTTTCATGGGACACCAAGTCCCATAAGATGTTAGGTCTATTCTTACCTATATCTCGTCTGTGATATCAGTCAAAAGGGCTGGTTCGGACAGCTATCCTGTTGAAACAACTTTTACTTCAACGAATGGAGGACGGCGACGACATACGCGAACACGTGCGAAAATTCGTCGATACAATCAACAAACTAAGCGAAATGGATGTTGATATAAATGCGGACTTGCAAGCCATAACGCTTCTGTATAGTCCACCGGCCGGTTTCAAAAATTTCAGGTGCGGGATCGAGTCCCGCGACGAGATACCGTCACCGGAAACGCTTCGTGTGCAAGTATCGAAGACAGCGACGCGCGTAAAAACGATGTTCGAGTTTCGATGCATAAGGCGATGTTTGCGAGACGAGTCGATGCACACGAGCGACGCGACGTCGCAGCGACTCCGTATCGGTGACTGTACGATTTAACAAACGGGCGATATGATGGCGCTGCGATCGCACTGCGACTTGATGCGTTAATGAACGAAACTATTTTATGCGTGGCGGCAGCAGTTAGGAAATATATATCGAGGTTACAAGACAAAAAAGTATGAAAAATATCTTTCGGTTGTATTATTTGCAATAGTAGATGCTAATTATACGTTCACTTGTGAGTCATTCCACGTCAAAACGCATAGAACTGCGGTCAGTCACCTATTTTGTTGAAATTTACAGCATTTGTTGATAACCACGAAAAAATGAACCATGTCAAATTATAGCTTCTAAACTCGAACCGTTTCCGAGATATCTAATGTCAAATTTTTGAAAAATCGGACGAAGTCAGTCGACACGACATCACTTCAACGAGAATATTTTGGTTATTTTTAAACATAGAGCATTGATGTCGCTCTCAATTTAAAACTAAAGAAACGCTTTGTCTGTCTGTACGCACAAAATTTTCTTTATTGTTGATAAATACAATAATAATTTAAGTTACATTTTCAAATGCCCATTTGACACTGTTCCCACTCATCGATCAATTTGGAGAAAATACCAATGGATTCCTTAAATCTTCATTTTTAAAATACGCTCTTAAAAAGATAATGCGATTTTGGGAATATGTAAAAAAAAGTTTACCATGATGTACGTCGCGTGACGTGTGCTGATGCCGCGATAAGCCAAAAGTTGTATCGCTTTCCCGATATGCACTTACTTATCGTAATATGTAGAAAAATATGTGTATATTCTGCGCTACTTAAATTTTATTATCAAGAGTTGTGTTACCTATCATATTTATTTGGAAAATTAATGTCTTTTCCTTACTTCTGTAACTGATGATTTGCATTTGTAATTAGTAATTAGCAAAAATATACAAACTGAAATGGGAATCAAAGAACATCAATATTTACAAACATTTTAAGGAAGCTATTAAAATATATTAATATGATAAAATCAAATTGGAATCTCAACTTCACGTGGCAACTTTTGGCGGCGTATATCATGGTAAATTTTTTTTTACATATTCCCGAAATCGCTCCATCTTTTTGAAAATCGTATTTTAACACCACATACCACTCGAGAACACACAAATTTTCGCAGACTTGGTCTTCGAAAATTTCTAGACATCGGAATGTTGTGGTTGGTTTATGTTTCTGGCGCTTTCCTACGTCGCGTCGCGGATGTAATGCACGTGGCGCTAATGAGTAATGACCTGGAAACGTTCGTTATTACTTCTTACATGAGCCACCCCGAGGACAGAGGGTGGAAAAAGAAATTTTAAAAAGGTTCGTATTAGAGAACTCAAAGTCCATCGCCCAAACTCAATCATTGGGTAAAGTTTTAATCCAACGAAATAATTCGATCGTTAATTTTTCTTCATACCATCCAAATATATATTCCAGGATGAATTCCTTAAATGGGTCGATCAAAACAAAGAATAAGAAAGTAATTAGATGCTTAACTCCGCAACACCAAAATAATATATATTAAGAGAGTTTCGAGTGTGTGGCTGACAATGAGATAAGTCGGAACTGCATTATGCATGCCCAAAATGTTTCAAACGAAAACAGCAGCACTATAATTATCCACTAATTACACTATATGTAATTTCAAAATTGGTATAGTACAAAAACGCAGTGTAAATCCGGAACAATACTGTTAGTATTGAGATTACGCAATGTATCCGTATATTGACAGAGTACTGAAATATGTAATTTCGATCAAACGCAGTACATATTATCTGCCCCCAAATTAAGTTAATGAAAAATATATTGTTATTTTGTATTTTAAGTATACCTTGAGCAATGAACTTACTATGCAGTAATGTAAAAAGTAATAACTACAAAAATGTTTGTGTAACGATAAATAATACATGTTTCAGGGTGCGTCATCCAGCTTAGTGGTAAAATTTGCAGATACTGAGAAAGAGAGACAATTAAGACGTATGCAGCAAATGGCTGGGAACATGAGCCTCCTTAGCCCTTTCGTCTTCAATCAGTTCGGCGCTTACGGCGCTTATGCTCAGGTGGGTCGCATTACAGTTAATGGTTCTCACGTTACCACATTACCGTCTGGTTGCCCTCGTTATCACGAATCACAATCTGTAATAGTTTCTGTCTTGTTAGGAATGATCGGCGAAATAATGTTCCGTTAACGCCGTGAAACGGTAATACAATATACAACTCGATATTATTCTGGGGACAGTTTCAAAATAACATAAATATATGCATATACATATACAGGGTAAGTCACCTAATGTTTGCCCCTCAAATATCATTGTTGTTTTTAAAGATACGTCAAACGTCTTAAGGACAAAGTTGAATAGTTCAATGGAGCTCACACGACGCAAAAAAAAATTTTTGTTTTCATGTCATAATTTTAGAGATACCAAGGTCACCTTCATTTTTTAAGATCGAACCACCCTTGTTTCCGTGACCTTGAATAACCTTGAATAATAATAGTCACTGAATTCCTAATGAAAGGGACTATCATAGTAGGTGTTTAAAAAAGGGTGATTCCATTTAAGAAAATGAAGGTGACCTTGATATCTTTAAAAACAATGACATAAAAACAAAAATTTTGTTGGTATCGTGTGAACCCCATTCAATCATTTAACTTTATCCTTAAGACATTTGACGTATCTTTGAAAACAACAAAGATATTTGGGATGCAAACGTTGGGCAACTCACCCAGTACACACACTCACACGCGGGTTGGCGCGCTGCGATTGATAGCCAACGTTACCGCGCGAATTCAGGCTCTGATTGGTCGTGTTTTTCGTTAATATTCCGTCAACAAAGCCTCGAATAACATTTTTGCTAAGGAAAAACTTGTTTGAAATCACCCCACGAATCTCCCATTTCCGGGTCCTCCAACATTTTTGTTGCACCCTGTACATATACATACATATACATATACAGGGTGGGTCAATAACTATGTCCACTTTGAATATTGCCGTTATTTGTAATAATATGATAACTAAATGTTATAAATGATATAATCTTGTGCAAACGCCTTCGACATATAAGTTTTATTTACAGCAGCAAGCGGCTCTCATGGCTGCTGCAGCAGCACAAGGGACGTACATCAATCCGATGGCGACGTTAGCCGCTGCACAATTGCCACATGCGTTGAATGGTATGCCAAACCCCGTCGTCCCACCGACTTCCGGTAAGTCCTTTCATGCTTTTGACAAATATATGAAAATTTCAGTTTTATCAAGGAATGAGGAGTTGAGTGAATGAAAATTAAGCGCCGTTAATGCTTAGTTTTATTTGTCGTATTACGGTAGAAATATCCCGATTACACACCGTCAGTCTCACGGAAGCCGACATAGGAGGAATTAGCTAAACGGTCGATTTCCGGAAAAACATTCGGGGTGAAGGAGTACAGGAGAAACGAGTTCGGAAGCATACATACACACATATGTATACTCTGCCGGGCAATTGCTCCGTTCCTCTGATCCAAAACTCTTTCTTTACTTTCCCCGTTTACCCTGCTCTCCTGGTTGTTCCTCCCGAACCTCGCAGCAGCAGGAGCAGTACAGTCCGTTGCTTTATAACCGGCTCGTAAATCAATACAACATTTTCACCGAGTGTGACTCGGGCGAAAGATATTGCCAGTACCGCGAAACTTTATCGAAAACTCGCCGAACGGGAAGGAGGAAAGCCAAAAGGCATGGTTCTTTCTTTGCCTACCCCTCCTATCCCCTCGCCTCTGTCTTCTATCCAGCTCCCGCTGGCTTCACCCCCCCCCCCCCCACCCATCCATCCACGCGCGGTTTCTCTCGTTCGCGAAGGTGCACGCAAACTGGAAAAGGAAAGGATGAAATTGCGCAGACAAGTAAAGTAAGCACAGAAATCGGCTCTCCGCAAGCGTTTTGGTATGCATCGAGTCTCGTCGAGCGAAAGTTAATACCGTTTGATAGGAAAATATTTTATTTTTACCCCACCCAGTCTTGGTCTTTCCTCCGCCTACTTGTTCCGCACATTGCCAAGTCTCTGCGCTTTTATTCTCTGAGAAACATCACCGTGCTATGGATTTTACACCGATATACGCTGCTCATATAAGACAATTGACTTGTTCGAATAAATTTGTAGGATTCGATGAAATTATTTGCGACTGCCATCTGTCATAAACGTGTTTCCTCGTTGATGGTTCAATCGAATATTATTCGGCTACCCTTACATCAAGAAAAGAAGATAATGCACGATTATTTCTATTTCGGTTTACATGGAAAACAAACAACGGAATAAAGGAACGGTTATTTTATCGTAGTGGGTATGTTAATTTTATATGAAGCAATCTGAATAAAACTGCGTATGTAGGTATTCATATACACAACAGTTACCTGGGTATATGAAAAAGAAGTTCTAGTTTACGGTGTATCGTCATATACTATACACGTAATAAGATACTAGCAACAATATGTGGATATCGGGATATTTTAAAATCCAAGCATTACCTATTCACGGCTCCAAACCCCTTTCTATTCCCATCTCTATTTAATCTATGTTTCTGCCCAACCCGAGCAAACGCGCAACGCAGAGTTTATGTATGATTTGAATGCAATCAGATGCGTTTGAGAATCTGAATAATCGTGAACATTGAACTGCATAGCAAAATGAGTTGAATGCAATTGGTACATTTCGAACAATTAAATCGCATCGAATGTATTCAGTCTTTTGGTACCACATTTTCGTTCAGTTTATCCGAGTACCCCAAATCATGTTCTTTCCAAGATGATAGTTCATATTATGTACATAATAATTTATTCGTTCGTATGCCATGCTCTTATACAACATATGGTTATGAATAATTCTTTTATACTGGAATATATCTTGTCAGATGATAAATACAACATTTGTGATCATTTTCTGTTATAACATCAACCTTAAAGGTAGGTCACTACATAACTAAACGTGTCCGACATAATTAGTTCACTGTGGGTGCATCAATCTATTCAGTATGAAATAATTCAATAACATAAAAGTCTACGCAACTCATGAGTACTAGTAGAAAACGAGTCAGAATGTGATTAAAATTGTATTGTAAATTGCATGTTCAAAGAAGAACATTTCATAACAATATTATGTTTTAAAATTCTACATATTGAATTATTCGGAAAACTCGTAAGCGTTTTAGGCGCACAGTCTTTATTAAGCAAGCCTTAAGTAAACATTCAATGTATATACTATGACATAAAACACTCAGACTAATTTGTGAGTGTTTCATTTCTTTTGTGCGAAATACAAACAAAATCGTATATTAAACGTGTAAAATAAATGACACTACATTGTTCGACAGGGACATTTTCCAGCATCACCTTGTTTATTAGATAATACCATGTCAGATGATAATTAATTCGGATAGCTGAAATACTCTGTGTAAGGAAGAAAACATAAAATTTATCAAAAAGTACGGTTGAAGAGTTTTCTAACCAAAAGGACAAACATTGTATTTAAATAGTGTAGTAGAACTATCTGAAAACTAAGAAGTTGTAAAACGAAGTGAAAATTACAAACCACAATTCTCGCTTTAAAAGCACTGTAAACTTTCCGAACAACTCAATATAATAATTGTTTTAAACGATATCAGTATGAAACGGATAACGCCTAGTTCTTCCAATCGAAGAAAATGATTATACAATCTGAAAGTTTTCATGAAACTGTCAAAACGTTTTTCGAACACTTTTTATCGTAACCAAATGCCGAAAATAGTGTAATACAGTCAAACCTCGGTTTACAAACTTAATTCGTTCCTGAAGGTTGTTCGTAAACCGAAATTATTTTCCCTATAGGAATGAATGTAAAATAGATTAATCCTTTACTGGACCCCAAATGATTGCTTATTTAAACTTTTACAACAGTACGTTGTGCACAAGATCTTAACACAAAATCAATGGAGGCCATTAAAATCTATCACAAAAAAGATAAACACAACACTAAGCAGATCAAATATAGACGAAAACTTAATTTAATTTTACCGTATTGGTATGGAGAATTGACGGCGTAATCGGAAAGGGATTCTTTTTCTTCTGTCTCTTAACACCACTCGACTCTGCATCAGACCCACTGGGCCTCTGTTTCACGTCGAGTGAAACACTCAAGCAAAACACAAACCGAATAGTTCATGATCCGAGGTGTTCGTGAACCGAGATTTGACTAATTAAAACCGCGTATCGGTTCCTCCGCACACGAGTAATACGTCGATGCATGCATAGAACTCCGCGTATCTTATACGCATACAAGATGCATCTATCCAAACCGACTAGATATTAGTAAGACAGTAAGGAACCGATCTTTGGTCAGGATTATCAATCCCAGGGAAACACTAAGACAATTAGTCCACGGAACGAATTATCAATTCGTATGGTGTTAGCGTGTCACGAGTCGTTATGAGATCCAAGATCGGATCAACATTCCTGTAATTCGCAGATCATATAGATCCTCAAACACGACGCGTGGTATACGGATCATCCGTAAACCCCGGTCTGACGTCTTACCAATTGTAGAGTAAATCGGTTGGCACGATATACAGGGGGCAACTAACCAAACGTTAGGCAGATGCCGTGAGCATTCTCGATACATTGCCCCGCGTCGGGAGGGTGACCGAGGTCGGTGTTGTAAGAGCAAGAGGGTAACCGGTGTGTACTGATCAGGTTTGCTCGTAGGTACCGGTACAGGACAGCCTGTTAACGGGGCGATACCGTCGTTACCGTCGCCAACGATGCCCAATTTCAACATGGCTGCACAAACACCTAACGGTCAACCGGCAGGTTCAGATCCTGGTGTCTACACCAACGGGATACCGCCGACCTACCCGGGACGTGAGTATCAACTCAGGCGCAGTGTGTCGCCCCTGCGCAATGCTCGGCCAATCGACGCCGGACTATATTATTCTGCCTTTCCGACGAGAATCAAGTAACCTCGCCCTACACTTCCACAACGATACCTCGATTCCCCGTTTCCAATGCTGGATAAATGTACATTTTCACAAAAAGAAACTATATCCATTACAGGTTTGAATGCTGCTTTTTAAATTACAGTTCGCGTGAAAGGTAACTGATACTTTTAGTCGGAACTAATTCTAACTTTACAGTATACAGTAATGTCTTTATAAGTGTGAATTCCTCGGTTCCGCGTGAGTCAGCAACTCGTCAATAATTTTTTGACTGGAGGTGATCCAGCTAATTTCATTCGTCGGCAATTCTTGAAGCATTCGCTGACACTTAATCGCTTCGACGAAGCGTCGTATATATACATATACATTTCCCCGCTCTGTCCGTCGAATCTGTGGTGCCAGTCAGTGAAAAGAAAGAGACTTTCTTCGACTAGTCGACGCGACGGCTGAACGAGGGGAGATCAAGAAAAGATTACATTCCCGGGTGTCGGTGATACAACGCTAATGCAACGATGAAACTTCATTATTTTTGATTCGTTAATGAAACTTTTACTAGTATATTGGTGAGATTTTTCTGATTAAAATGATACAAAATACGACATAATTGGACATTCGTCTCGTGTTACGTTTGTCCCTGGTCTCCTCTAACTTAAACACGATCTACATTGTTTGTTGTATGTACTCGTCAGAAAATACAACTCTACATAAATAATATTGCACCAAAGGAATACTTTCGAATACTCTTCTAATATGAATGTAAATTAGCTCATGGGAGAGTTACCCGGATTACAAACATATTTCCTAATCGAGAATCGGTATTGACAGAGTTTGAAGAATCCCTTGAATTCAAACACTAATATTAATAAAAATGAAACGTATCAAATAATACCTCGTTTGAAGAAAAAAAATCATCATGGTGTATATTTTTGTATATACATATATACAGGGTATATACATAATAACTATGTCCACTTTGAATATTGCCGTTATTTGTAATAATATGAAAAAATGTTATATACAAAACTTAGACGGTATAGAGTTGGGCATATTGTGACAAACATTTTCTGCATGGGTGAAGGCATAGAGGAGATTTCAAGGTCATCTCTATTTTTTCTAATGGAATGCTATGTTTTTTTTATCGCGATGTGATAACCGGTGTTGAGACGACTTCAGCGAGCTATAATTGAAGGCCATGCAAGGTCAATTGTGGTAATAAAATAAACTTTCTTACATTACTGTTGATGCTCGAAGTGGTGACCGTTTGTGTCAATGCAAAGTTGCAATTTTCGTATCGCTGCATCACGTGCATGTCTTATCGTTTCTGAACTTATTCTAGCACATGCTGTATTATTTCATAGAGGACTTTATTAGAAAATGTATCACTAAACGTTCATCAAATGATGTGGTTACAGCACGACAGGTGTTCAGCACATTATGCTCGGAGAGTAAGAGATACACTGAACGAACTTTACCCAAATAAATGGATAGGACGTGGGGGATTAGTATCTTGGCCACCTCGTTCTCCAGATTTAACCCCATTAGATTTTTTTCTCTGGGGAGCATTGAAAATGTTGTTTATGAAGAAGTACACACTACACCAAAAAATATGAAACAATGGATAATTGCAGCATGTGGTAGAATAAGTTCAGAAACGATAAGACATGCACGTGATGCAGTGATGCCAAGATTACAACTTTGCATTGACGTAAACAGTCACCACTTCGAGCATCTCCTGTAACGTAAGAAACCTTATTTTACTACCACATTTGACCTTGCATGGCCTTCAATGATAGCTCGCTGAAGTCGTGTCAACACCGGTTATCACATCGCGATAAAAAAAATATAGCATTCCATTAGAAAAAATAAAGATGACCTTGAAATCTCCTCTATGTCTTCACCCACGGAGAAAATGTTTATGTCACAATATGCCTCCCTCTATACCGTGTAAGTTTTGTATATAACATTTTTTCATATTATTACAAATAACGGCAATAGTCAAAGTGGACATAGTTATTGCCCCACCCTGTATAATACACAGTTTACGAAGCGCAGAGTGTCAAGACTTTGTCTTCGATGCGGAAGATTTATCGTCTTTTAAAAATGTCCTAGAATACACAATATCGATTGGTCAGTAGGTATTGCGACAGGGGCCTTAGACATAGGTCTATCCGCGATAAGAGCTGAGCTTACTGAAATGTAGATGCCCTCCATCTGTCCATTTCAGCACAAGGGCTGTCCAATGGGGAGGCGGCACTCCAGCATGCCGCCGCGTATCCCGGAATGCAAGCCTACCCTGGTGTCGGTAAGTTTTTTTTCTTCTCCATTCACATTTTCCCTTTATGTTTATCGAGCCCTCGTATCTGCAGCGAATTTTCACGGAGACTATGGCGAATGTTTTTTGCGGCGCTTCTCGATAATTATATAAAGCTCTCATGTCTGTCTCCAAAGAACGATGTATGTATATTAGATTCTGTTATAAATTTCAGGGATAAAATTCACTCGTAATTATTGCGTTATCATTCGGTGAAGATATTAAAGAAAATTGTTATTACATGTACATTAAGTTCATTTAACTTCGACTTACCGACGCGTTAGATTTCGTGCGAATACCGACGGCTCTAACTATGCGGTTGAAAACATTAGGTTGTGCGGTAGTAAACCCACAGAACGTAATTCTAAGGGTATAATACGTTTTCCTTACTGAACGAAGCGAACGGATTTGCACATTTTCCAGTGAAAATTTTAAAAGACGCTTCATAGGACACGAAAAAGCGAATGAATCCAAACGTTCGATTGCAATACACTTTTATCCGAGCACTCGAGCACTTAACTTTGAACAATTCGATTCCGCTGTCGCGTTTGGCTGTTGCATGCATACTATGATCGCAAGTGCACATTTATAATACGTGTACATATAAATCTATACAAATATAGGCACATATATACAATATATACATGCATACGAAACACCGGTATTTCATCGTTACCACCATGAATTTAATATTTATACACGAGTGTCTGCACATGATATGTATACAGGGTGAGGCACTTAAAACCGGCCATCTGAATAACTTGGCTGCTATTGGTGATAGGAAAAAATGCATCAGGCCAAAATTATTTGGTATCAACGGGCTGATCATTCGATGTTACTAGTTTTTTGATAGGTGGAGGCGTCAAGGAGATATGAAGGTCATCTCTTTTTTTTTAAAAGGAACGGTATGTTTTTTTACTTACATTCTGATAGAGTATTTCAAGATGAATACAATGACTTATTGCAAAGGTCATTCCTGGTCTGGGTTCAGCCAATTGTGATGGAAAATAATTTATGTGCAGGAAATCATAAATGACCCGCACGTTTTCCAGATTTAACACCTCTGAACTTGTATTTGTGGGGAAAATTAAAGCAGCAAGTGTATAATGAAATACCAACAACCAAAGAAGATATGAAAGAGCATATAAGAAGAGCTTGTGCCGCGATAAATACAACTGTTCAGGGTCACCATTTTTACCACTTGTATTAGTCGTGTATTACTGTTAGACAAATAAATCAACGGTGTTGAACATTTCCTCAAAGTAAATTATTTTCCATCACAATTGGCTAAACCAAGTCCACGAATGACTTTTCCAATAGGTCATTATATTCGTCTTGAAATACTCTATCAGAATGTAAGTTAAAAAGCATACCGTTCTATTTAAAAAAACAGAGATGACCTTCATATCTCCTTGACGCCTCCACCTATCAAAAAACTAGTAACATCGGATGATCAGCCCCTCGATACCAAATAATTTTGGCCCTACGCATTTTTTCCTATCGCCAAGTTATTCAGGTGGCCGGTTTCAAGTGTCTCACCCTGTATACGCGTCAACGTGTTATACTTCGAATGTGTGTCGTAGTGTATTTCACTGTTCTTTCAAATTTATGTCGTGTATATTCTATATTATATGCTTTAATCTTATTATGTGTCGTGCATGTTCACCAATACGTATACAACAAGCCGACATAGAGTCGATCAGGGTGTCAAAGCCTTGAACGATGGTTACATCAAAGTGCGACGCACCGGCAGAAATTATAATCCAATAATCAGCATCAAAATGAACGATGCCGTGTCAGAGATAATCAGTGTTTCGGTGTAACTATATTTCAATTCGTTGTGTCCGTCGTTAGCAATTAACGCCACAGTTCTGATAAATTCTCTGTCTCGCTGATTAAATTAATAACGGAGCGTTCGAATCTCGTTTCGCAAGTTTCGTGCCAGTGTCTCATTATAGACTGTAAAAACATTGGACTGTGGCGAACCTTTGCGAGACAATAATTATTTTCGCGCGTACGTACGCGACATTTGACGAGACCACCTTTCCGCGTTTCTCTGTTTAGATCTGTGCAACTTGCTGTTACCAAACGTTTCGGAATTGATAAAAATTCATCAAATTAAAGATACAACGCACGTACGAATTGACTGCACTGGTTTCCCCTGTTTGCCGTAGTCTTAAAAAATAAGATGTTCTTCTTCTGTGTATTTTAGTCCAATGTATACAATGCGAAATCAGTGAGCGTAAAAAAAGCAATCTGAAATACCTCGGGTTTCTCTATTTCGCCGGATGGTAAGGTAAATGTCCTAGTAACTGGACACTTAAGAATTATAAAAAAATATATCTAAAATTTAATGGATAAAATCATTTGCATACTAAATAAAATTGTGTAATTTACAGAGGTATTATAATTATCTGTCGAATGACTATAAATCAATTATATTTGTTACGATATTAAATGTAGATTTAAGTAAAAAGTGCTGCCAAGGAAAACGCGGTTGCCCTAGTATTCGAATTTTGAGGTCCCAGTAACTGGCCATGTTGAGTAAAGTAGCCGAATATGCGACCCATTTTTTTAAACACGCATATTTCCCGATTAAAACTAGCTTTATTAAAATACGATACACGTTTTAAATGTAAGATGTGTACACTTTTACAGCATATTAGAAATTATAACAAAACAGATAGAGTTCCATCATAATAAAATAAAAATGAAAAATATCCAAAAACATGAATTCAAAAACTAGTCGCCTAATATGAGACCCAGGTTTCATTTTGTCAAAACTTACTTTTTCTGTCTTTTTTCACACATTGGGCATATAAAATTAATTAATAAAGTAATAAAGTCCTGTACAAAACAAGCACTCTGCATTATAATTTTCTTCGTCGTCACTTTCATCGACCAGAACGATGTGTTCTTCACACTCATTAATTGAACTATCATTTTTTACGCGTTTCCTTGTATGTAGTACTTTTTTTGAAATTGAGACCTTTAAAACTTCTCTATAACGGAGATAGGCTGGGCTCTCTTAGGTTACTTTACCACATTTTATAGTTGATTAAAAACATTTTTAATGGCCATATTATTTTATTACGAACTTGACGAATACTTTTTCAATTCAAAATAAGAATAGGTTAATATGAAGTGTTAAAATTATTAATAGGAAATATTAAAAAATTAGAAAAGAAGTTAAAGAAATGCTTACACAAGGGTGAGAAGCGATATTTTTAAAACCAAGTTTTACTGCTTGAATAAATTATTTATTTTTACTATTAATATTTAAAATAAATGCTTCTACTTATTAGTATGCTTATGCTCAAATGTACTGTAGACATCTTTTGGGCTGTACTTTTTTTTATAGCTTGACTATGCTGTCTTTTTTTTCCACTTCTATCCATTATAATTATTTATTGTAATTTTTTCTTTTCTTAAGAATAAAAAAGAAAAAAATGGAGCTGAAAGATAATTTAAAATTTAGATTATGTATACTTATGTACCTCATATTCATATAAATGAAAAAAAAAGGTACAACATAAAAAGTACCACAAAAAAAGAATGAAGAAGTGGTTAAAATTGAAAAACTATTTGTATTCTAATAGATTGTTGTTACAAGTTATGTTTACCACAATCGTACTTACAAGTGTAATAGTTAAGTCATGCAAAAACAATATATAACAAGTGCACGGGTTTACGGCCAGGTACTAGGACACAGAAATAAGACTTGAGACAGCGATTTGTCCGCGAAACTGGACAGCCGGTCAGTTACTAGGCAAGCATTATTATTGTATATCAATAGATATGTAGCCACACAAAATTTTAATTGAAAAACAAATTAATTCAATCACTTTTCATTTTTTACTAATTATAAATATTCTTAAGATTCTATGAACACTATACTTATCAAGAAAAATCTAAAATTATGTTAATTATCATCTTAACAAATACGACTTCCTATAATGTCACTTTCCTTAGTCATTACTGTCATTACTAACGAATCTGTCGAGACTCATACTGCATGTAACTACAAGAATTCGACCAGTGTTTTTGATATTTTAAAAAAGAAGTCACGAAATAAAATATTTTTTACAATACATTAAATAGTTAAATGGTATAAATATAAAACGATATTTCATATTATATTTCATGTATATAATTTAATACGAAATAAAATTCCCGTCAGTGGTCATGTAATAGGACGTGGCCAGTCATTGGGACTTTTACCTTAAAAAACATAATATGATGTTGTATTTACTTCATACGCCAAACATCGATCCACCGTATCGGTTCAACCGAAGCCTCTGGCAACATCAATCGAAATATATTAAAATGTTGTTTGCACGAAAATGATTAATTTCCAAGCGAAAATTTATTTCTTCTGATCTGAGAGCGAATATCTGTTTCCCCTTCATCTTCGTTACCCCGTCAATCCCCCTTGTACGTTTATCCGTCACAAGCAAATATCAATCGCGCGTATTTTAAATATTTGCCAAAGCATAATTAATACCGTTATAATTGCTTTCCTCTAATATCATGCTATAAAGCGTCCATTAATCCATTTCCACCTATACGATATCGAGCGAGTATTTGAGCTTCAAATAGTCGGATATTTCCGAAAGAATTTAACCTGCAAAGCATGATACCGTAAATGACGATACTCCGTGTACATATTTTACCTCTTTTCTGACAATTATCTCTTTGTAATCACATGTTTCCCGTTTACTGTAAATTTCAAATTTAACTTAAACAGAATATTCTCTTGTAATATCAATTCAGACATATCATCTATATCCCGCTGACACTGCTGAGCACGGCCTGTCGCGTGATTTTGAAGTGGTATCGTGTATCGGTTAATGATAATAGTTACGGCAATGCTAGGATCGTTGCAAAGTACAAAAGTATCGTGTTAAAATTCGTGGAACGGTGAGAACGTTGAGAGTCGAATACTCTTGTGGTGAGAAACGCCGCGACTGCAGTCGAAAGCTTAGCAGGACAAGAATTTCCTCCTCCAGCAATTCAGTTTTCGTTTGCTTTTGAGCTCGTCTATCGATCTATGACTGTTCTTGTTAATTCATTGGACTGACTATATTTCAAAAATATCACGTGCAAGCTAAATTATACAAGCACGGTATTTTGTTTTGGATTTTCCCCTTTTCTTTATTAACAACAACTATTAATTATACAATATTTCCCAGTTTATTGATGACGATTTATTTTGCAGAATCTCGACCGACACTAAACGTAACATTTACATTTTATAAAACATGATTATAGCTTATCATCGCTATAAGAAACAACCAGAGTCTTTCATCCTGACTCTGGATACGTGACAAAGTGTACAGGGCGAAGCAAAGTATACAATTACTCGTAATTACAGGACAAAGTATAGAATTACTCGTAAATTACTTGCTGTATGAAAAAATATTTCAAACAAAAGTTGCATGATATTAATGGGAAGATATGTATTGTTGCATGGGTGCGGCATAATTTCCAATAATGAAAGGACAAAGTTTTATAAAAAAAAGAATTATGTATTTCAATTCAAGAGGAGGAGTACTTATCTTTGTCACATCCTTCTCTATTCCAAAGTCGTACCACGACTCTACATTGTCTATAGTCTATACGTATTGGGCGCCGTTACCAGAACGACGTCGCCATCCCAAAGCCACTCGATTTGACAATACACAATATGTACACCGCGAGCAAACTCGGCTTCTGCTAGGGGAAAAAGTGACGTAGGCGAAGGACCTCCTGCTGTTTCGTTTCGGGAATAATTGAAATGTATGTCAAATTAACATTTAATTTAACATTTATTTCAGTAATTGGAATAAGTTTACCAAGTGGTAGGAGACCTTTTCCCTACGTTAGTTTTTCCCCTAGTGGAAGTAGAGTTTGCTCGTGAGTGTACACCGACGAGCAAACTCGGCTTCCGCTAGGGGAAAAAGTGACGTAGGCGAAGGGCCTCCTGCTATTTGGTTTCGGGAATAATTGAAATGTATGTCAAATTAACATTCAATTTAACATTTATTTCAGTAATTGGAATAAGTTTACCAAGTTGTAGGAGGTCCTTCCGCTAGGGGAAAAAGTGACGTAGGCGAAGGGCCTCCTACCATTTAGTTTTGGCAATTACTGAAATTTATGCCAAATTAACATTCGGTTTAACATTTATTTCAATATCTGAAATAAATTTTGTTAAATGGTAGGAAGCTTTTTTCTTACGCCACTTTTTCCCTTAACGAAAACCGAGTTTACTCGTGGGTGTACACCCGCGAGCAAACTCTGCTTCCACTAGGGGAAAAAGCAATGTAGGAGTTAAAGCCTCCTACTACTTGGTAAATTTACTACAAATACTGAAATAAATGTTAAACCGAGTGTTAATTTCGCATAAGTTTCAATAACTCCGAGACCAAATAGCAGGAGGCCCTTCGCTGACGTCACTTTTTCCCCTAGCGGAAGCCGAGTTTGCTCGTGGGTGTACGTGCTACCTATCGAGTAACACGTAACAGTATGTTAGAGTACTTATTTGTTTTTTCTATATTATTTACACATTAAGCTTTGATGGTAACCATTATTTTTTAAAATGGAACATCGTATGTTTCATTACGAGACTTAAATGTGCATTAAAAACTGAATAAATAAGTACTAAAACCTATTACATATGTTTAAAATGGTTATTTATTGACATATTGGTACCTACATATTTGGTGTTATATTGAATTTTATTGAACCACCGATAACTCCAAAACATTCAAGAACTATGATTAATGCACGTGAAAAAATCTCTAGAAGTACATTAGAAAATATGTATGTGTTCCATTTATCAAACTGTCCGATGCGTGTATCAGCAATAATGATCAACAGTTCGGACATTTTTTATGATGAAACATTCATTGTAAATATCTCAATAAATACCGACTTTAGACCTATTTTGTCTTAATACTAATTTACTCAGTTTTTAAGGCATAGGTATATAATTTCCGTAAAGAAATGTAGGGTGTTCTGATTAAAAAAAAATCACGGCGGCCTTCAAAACTTTATATGTAAACAATGTAGAAAACAAATAAGTATTCCAATATATACTCCTCTTGTTACCATGCAACTTTTGTTTGAAATATTGTTTCATACAGCAAGTAATTTATGAGTAATTGGAAATCGTCAAGTTAGATGCTGCACTGTGAACATAGTAATTGTGAAGCAAACGGGAAGTATACTTGTCAAATATAGATACATGGAATATTAAACCTATAATATTTCAGATGTATTCGTTGTAATATAATTTTCCCCGCTCTTAAATAGTCGCAAACGCAAACTGTTTACCCTTAAGCTTCTCCTGCAAACAATAACAATTCTTTGTCTTTATATGAAACTAAACTGATACACTCGAGAAGCTAATACGTTTACAGAAGAGAAATCGGAAACAGAAGAAGAAAACAGCATGTACTTCTAGATGTGGATAGATCATGATGTATTTGTTATTTGTTATTGTCGCAGCTTATCCCGCCGTCTACGGCCAGTTTCCTCAAGCTATTCCACAGCCGATGACCGCCGTGGCACCGACGCAGAGAGAAGGTAAGTACAACACAGACATCAACGTCTAACTGTTGATTGTAAACACGAATGATTGCAGTCCCGATATTGTAGAATCCAAATCCCAATCGTCCAGACACGACTGATCCCTCGTCATTGCGTCGCAACGTGTTTAAGCAATCAGAGAACATTTTTTTATGTGCTGCGTGGAAATTTCGTTAAATGAAAATACCCATCTATAAAATACGTTGTTCAAAGCGGCGTTGAAAAAGAGATACGCTTTTTTCAGATGTAATTGATGAAAGTAAAATTGTAAATGAACACAGGAATAAGCCATCTGCACGTGTTACGGATTACAACGAGACATTCTTTGTGACAGGGCATCCAGAATGGTCGACGGATCTTTTTTAATTTAGCCACGTACGGTTGCGATCTTTTTTTTAGTTTAATCATACCAGTGAAAAGGAATGATAACCTACAACCGACGATGAATTTTCATGCGACCACTATATTCTCCCATTTCACTATCGCGAATAATATCGAGTTTCGCTGCTATGAAAGTGGCACAAAACAGACATTTATTATAGAACTGCGATGACAAAAGAATATTCTCATAACGCGTCATATTTGATAATCCACATCGAGTCATTCATTAATTCGGATAATCACGGTATTCGGGAAAACATATCCGCGATGGAGAACAAAAGGTACATACAATAATCTAAACCGATTCACTTAAGTCGAAAGTATAAGATTAATCGGAATCAATATCATCGCGTGGAAACTGGGCCGAAGAACAAACCGATCGCCGACGTTATTTTTGTGCGTGAAAAGACGCAAACGACGAAGCTTAGAGGAAAAAGATGATGGATAAAATGACGACAGAAAAGAGTAGGAATGGTAAGCCGAGCTAATGTCTAATTGCAATTAACAACTCGCCATTATTAGAATATACGACGCCTAACAATGAGATAATGCAAATAAAACGAAAGTTTTAATTACTTTGCCACTACGCCTGGCGGCTATCCGTTGTTACGTTATAGGATAATGGAAAATTTTTCTTCCGATGCAATTTTTCGCCTTTTCCTTCAACCATACATCTCGTCGATATGTTTCTGCGACGTAAACGTTTCCACGAAATCTATGTTATCAACCAGAGTTGGGCATTATTCGAACAAATGTTCGAATAAAGTTTTCGAATCAAATTTTATTCGAATAATCTTCGAATAAAAGTTGCGAATAAAATGAATTTGTTCGAATACAATTTTTTTCGAACGAACCAGAGGATAAAGGTATCGTACGTTATCGGCACACGCTAGTTCGGGAAAAAAATCATAACTACGGAACTACGTAATCAATTTCTTTCTAAGTACACCTGTTCCTCGATTTACGCGAAGTCTTTGCTCCAAGTGGTTCTTCTGTATGCGGATAAAAACCGTCTAAATGGAGTATGCCTGAACGAAAAAAAAATTCTCGAGGGAAAAGGCAGTTTAAATTATAAAAATACTTATTTACAAAAAAATAAATGGAACGAATACTCAGCGTAAATCGAGTGACGGATGTAAGTAGTATAATATTTTCTTAAGGGGGGAATCTCCTTCGGGGCCAGCTCCGAATCGATCGAAGCGCTGATGTAAACAATCGGACGCTAACGAAAACACATAATCGATAACTGAGACGGTTTGATGATACGACATCTAACGGCAATACCTACAAATAAATTTTGTTCCCCATTATCATCAAGATCAAACGTGGAGGTAAAATAAACTTTCTTACATTACAGGAGATGCTAGAATAAGTTCAGAAACGATAAAACGTGCACGTGATGCATATATGAAAATATAAATTAATTTTGATTAATTTTATATCATGCAATTCTATATAATAATAGGTGATGATAATGCCATTAACAATAATAATAATAATAACAGTAATAGTAGTAATAGAACCACTTTACATCAAGAAACACGCACACAGTACCAATATTAACATTTTCGTTTAGTATGATTTAAATAGTCAAACACAGACCTAGAAAATATGATCTATTTCTATATACATATACTAACCCACACCAAACTCACTAAATTCCGCAAATTACACCCCGCTTTGTGTAAAGAAAGAATAACTATAAACAGAAAAGGAGAAAGAAGTTCAACTGATATAGAAGATCACATAAGACAGATAAAACACTAAGGAAATATTTTTATAAAAAAGAAAACATGATATGTATCGTATGTATCGTTCATTAATTATTTAATTATCCACTATTTAATTTTCAATGTTTCTTATAGAGAAATTAAAAAAAAGTATTTTTATTCCATAGTATTTTATTCTCAATAATAAAAGAACATAATAAACTTTGAGAACTCAGAAGATCCTTCACCTACGAAACAACTGTTATTGCTAAGTAACAGCCCGCTCCATACTAAACAATTTCTGTTATCTTTCTGATATCTCTTAAAATAACGGAGATAATTAACATAATTTAAAGTGCGTATATTCAGCCTACCCTACATGTGGCTACGTCGCATAACTGAACAACCGAGTGATGGGGACAGCGCTCGGGTAACTGGTCACCGATTCCTACACGGTTCCAGGAAATTTAGCCCCCTACACCCCGACTCGTGCAAGAATCAAATATCTACTCTATCGATTATGTGTTTTCGCTAGCGTACGATTGTTTACATCAGCGCGTCGTTCGATTCGGAGTTGGCCCCAAAGCAGTCTCCCCCGTTAATAGTGGTTGTAGTAGTATTCGAAACATGCATTCATCATAGACATATACAGGGTGTAACATAAATGTTGTTCGACCCGGAAATGGGGAACTCGGGGGGTGAATTGGAACAACGTTTTCCTTAGCAACAATGTAATCTGAGGCTTCGTTACCGAGATATTAACGAAATATCCCGACCAATCAGAGCGCGAGTTTGCCAGCCGAGTTCCCGCGCTAGCGGTAGCTACGCGCTGCGCTTGTACTACGAAGCTCCGAACAAGTAGGTCAGCATGCATCGCAGGAAACTGCGTATATAATAGCAAATAAAAAAGACGTAACAAATAAAATCATATTTTATATCATCTGACGTTTGTTATTTAAAGAGATTACTGAATGAAGCATAAATGTAGGCAAATTATGTATAACGTAAAAAGACGAATGCACAGTTACTTTTTTAAACAGAATGGAAACTAATAATTATTTGAAGAGGAAGGCTCAGGAATTTGTAAATTCCTTTTTCAAATAACGTATTAACGAAAAGGTAATGTAACAGAAAATGAACGAGAAGTGATCGTAGTTCGTTATTGAGATAAAAATCCGTAGTTTAATAACGGGCAACAATGTCACTGATAATGAATGTCTCTTCGAAAAGCCCAAAGAAAATTGTAGGTACAGAAACTTGCAAAATTATCACCGGGAAAAAGTCATAGCTTGCGTTAAATTAAGAAAATAATAATGACTAATAAACTGAATAGAACTCACCCTTACGGAAATTCACCTGCAGCGTGCAAATCTGCGTCAGTAGGTCACTGAACCGATCCTGGTCATCGACTGCCGAAACGGTTTATGGCAGGGTATCGCCCAGTTCGCAGGTGATCGCAGGTACACCTCACCAACCGAAGTTAAGGGTTGTAACGTCAAGTGCGTCCGGGTTATTCCACCGAATACGTACTCACTTCACTGCACGACCACTAACACTGATCACCCGACACAATCACTTAATGTATTTTTAATCCAAAGTGTTGTTCCTACGTTACGAAAATTCGTGACCTCGGAAAGAGCCGATTGTTTTCCATTTATCAGATGTTTTACGTAGCCAAACACTTGCACAGCAGCAGCCGCATATCCGTTATTCTGTACGTACCACCAGAACATTGCGTAATACTCCCGTGAACTGAACATCTCTGTCGCCCGATTGCTAACCGACTGACAGAATTTTTCCGAAAGGGCTTCCTCTACCCCCAAGTAGTTTCCCATCGATACATTGTGAGTTCACTCCCACCACGACAAGATTTAGGTAAAAAGAAACCAACTGTTCTAGGATAACACGTGCTTTGCAGAAGTGCAAGGAAAGAACCGTCACGCAGTTTCACCAAGGCGCGTAGCCCGTTAATTTATTGCCAGGGTACCTACTGCTTCGAGATAGAAAACAGACATCACGTGCATCGGCTTGAAAATGTCCGAAATAAAGACGACCACCAATGTACCCGTTGCTTCGAGTTGGAAAGTACAATGTACATTGTTTTCCTCGAGGAGCAGGGAAAAAATTTCACCGACACGTGCGAGTTGACGATGCTTGGCCCTGTCCGACCACCTTTGTAGAGGCCGGAGCGGACTTTTCGGTTATTTATGACTCAATTTCTTCGGCCTCGTAGCAACCGTGAACTCACAACAGAATTGACAATCGCCAATTTTATTACAACTCTGTAAAATTGTAGTTCTTATGAAAATATCAGTTACATTGTTGCTAAGGAAAAAGTTGTTCCAATTCACCCCCCGAGTGCCCCATTTCCCGGTCGGACAACATTTATGCGAACAAAATGGCCAAAACGACTCAACGTTCATGTTCTTTACTATAATGCTTGACCTCACTGCGCAAAGTTGACGCGTGAGCAGCTCGAGGAGCTAGGATGGTTTACTGACATTTGCTGCGCGATCAGTTTGACAATTATACCATCCTCAAAAATTATATTAGGGACTTTTGCATCCCAGCCCTGATCTTTCCAAGAAAGGCATTCAAAACTTGCCGAGCAGATGCCTGAATGTTAGTGATAATGATGGTAATTATATCGTAGAATAAAAATGAAGTTATCATAAATACAAAATACAAATAAAACTAGTTGAAAACGGCACGGACTTATAGGACAGCCCAGTATGTATGACAGCACGCTGTTAGTTTTGCAATTGCTGATTAACTTTTATATAACGGTCTCCATTATTCTCTGTTTACTATTGAGTTCTATAATGAATTACCTCCTACAGTGTATTCTGTATTGAAATTCTACTAGATTGATTCTTTTTTTAAATCAGAAGTAGATCGATTTATGTT